TCAATGTGAATGAAGTTGGAGGACCACACCTACTGAAGCAGTGTCATGCCAACCATATCCCTCCTCTCCAGTGGTTGACAGCAGTACCAAAAGTGATCTTAATGCATTCTCTAGGAGAATAAAATAAAGTTCCACATTTGTTTCTGACATTTTAACCCAGAAGTTGCACTCATGAAACATGGTGTTCACCTTTTGCGCAGACAATGCATCAGTCGATCTGGGGGTGATACCTATCCTAGGCTTTTGTTCAACCTTTTACCCCAGAGAAGCCCCTAAGATAAATTTCAGGTCTTGAAAAGCTCTTACTAAAACCAATTCATTGGGAGTCTATGGGAAAAATGTCCCTCACACCAGTGGTCATTAGGAGGAATGCAACCCTTAGTGATGGTTAGAATGCCACCATTACAGACAGTTAAAAAGATAAAGAGGTGTCATGCTATTGTCAAGTGGTGTTGACCCAGGAACTATGCAGGAACCTCAGATGGGAGGACATCAACTGCAGCTCAAGGCTGTCCTAACAACCTCTGGAGGAACCCTGGTTGCGAATGGCAGGGTAAAATACACCGTCTGCCCCCGATAATAAAAAGACAAGCCCCCCACTATGAGGAAGAGGGGCATGAGTAAGGCGGTATGATCATGTGACCACTGAAAAAACATAATTAAATGGTAAATAGCATTTAAAAAATAATGTGGTTACATTAATGGCATATCATTACCTGTATAAACATGAGCTTTTATTCTAGCATTTCCACAAATACTTTCATTTACACGTATGGGGGATTTTTTTTAGCAAAGACATGTAGCAGAATACATTCTGGCCTAAATTTATGAAGAAATGTGATTTTTAAAATTTTTTTACTGCACAAGTTTAATAGCAAAAAGTCAAAAAATATTGTTTTTTTTTCCTCAAAATTGTCTATCTTTTTTTTGTTTGTAGAGCAAAAAATAAAAGCACACCGGTGATCAAATACCACAGAAAGAAAGCTCTATTTGTGGGGAAAAAAGGATGTAAATTTCATTTGGGTTCAGCATTGCATGACCGCACAATTGTCAGTTAAAGTAACGCAGCGCCGTATCACAAAAAATGGCCTGATCAGGAAGGGGGGTAAATCCTCAGGAGGACAAGTGGTTAATATAGTAAAGTGCACAAAAGAATGTTTACATGTGTCTCCCGAGCCACGGATCTGCGTGTGCAATCTCACACACAGTGCCACGGCTTGGCCCCGCCCCCTCACTCTCCTGATTGGTTCACTGGCTGTGATTGAGAGCAGCAGGAGCCATCGCCTCAGCCAATCAGGAGTGAGAGTCCCTGGAGAGAACCAAGGCTCTCCTGTATACCTCTGGATCGGGATGGGGCTCAGGAAAGTGTTAGGGGGGCTAGGTGAGCTGCTGCACACAAAGGTTTTTTACCTTCATGCATAGAATGCATGAAGGTAAAAACCTTGAGCCTTTACAACCACTTTAATGTCCCAGAAAGGCCCAAACTATTCTGTAGTCTCCCATGTCACAAGACTTTCAAAGCATGTTTTCATTCTTTTCAAGTCATTTCATGTAGCCAATCATTTCCATTCCTTAGGCTGGCCATAGATGGGGATCTTTTTTTTTTGATCAGCTGATTAAAAATAAAAAACAAACAAACAGATTCCACCATCCACACAAGCAGGGTAGATGGAGAAATTCCTCCCCATTATGTCGTTGTATTCTGACAGTGGGGACTCCTCCGCTGTCAGAATTCACTAATCGGTGCTGCACCTGCTGATCAATGGAAAATTTTCCATAATTACCATGCAAGAGAAGCTGATCTTAAGGTCAACTTCTCTTTAGCGGAAATGGCCATAGATGGATCACAATTGGTCCTTGCTGAACCAGCTGATTTTCTGTACCTGCTGTGACCAATCACAGCAGGTCACATGACAGTTGTATACAATGGATGGCTTCATTCATGATGCCATCCATTGTATACTAGTGCCTAGCTGTGAATGGTCACAGCTAATCACATGCACATGTCATGTGATTAGCTGTGACCAAATCACAGCTAAGCACAAAAAAAAAACAAAAGAAAGCTGAATGAATCGATTTCATTCAGCTAAATGCTTGCTTATAGCAAAGTAATTTTTTGCTATAAGCAAATTGTGTAAAAAAAAAAAAAAAAAAAAAATACTGATCACTTCCCCAAAGTAGTACAATGTTACTATGGTAACATTGTACTACTTTGGTCATAGTAAAATATGAAAAAAAAATCTTAAAAAAAATTAAAAAAAATGTATTAAAAAATTAAATATAATAAAAAAATAAAAAAAAAAATTAAAAAAAAATATATATATTTTTTTTTTTCATACTGTCACCAGTCAGTGTCCCTGTTCACCACCATGCCAGTTATATGATGACGCTGTACTGCACTGGTGACAGTATGTAAAAAAAAAAATAGTGAAAATAATTTTTTTAATTTTTTCATTTTCCGAAAAATTATGACAAAAAAATACAACTTCAAAAAACTCGCCATGCCTCTTATGAAGTACGTCGGACTGTCTACTCTGCAAAAAGGGGTCATTTGGGGATATCTGTACTATTCTGACATTTTTGGACCTCAAGAAATTAGATTGGCTGTCAGTACTTCAGGATTGATCAATATTCAGATCTATACCATAGTTTGTGAACTCTATAACTTTCCTACAAACTAAATAATACATCCTAATTTGGGTTATTTTCACCAAAGACATGTAGCAGAATACATCTCGGCCTAAATTTATGAAGAACAATTATTTATTTGTAAACTTTTATAACAGAAACAAAGAAAAATGTGTTTTTTTTTTTTCAAAATTTTTGGTCTTTTTTTGTTAATTTAGCAAAAAATAAAAACCCCAGCGGTGATTAAATACCACCAAAAGAAAGCTCTAGTCGTGTGAAGAAAATGATAAAAATTTTAGTTTGGGTACAGTGTTGTATGACCGCGCAATTGTCATTCAAAGTGTGAGAGCGCTGAAACCTGAAAAATGGCTGGGCAGGAAGGGGGAAAATTGCACGGTATTGAAACGGTTAAGTATAACTGTGTAATGAAAATTATGGCACTTGTGATTTGTTACATTTCTGGATCCACCATCTTGGATTATGATAAAGACATGCGTATCATTTTACAAGATGAAAGAATATATTGATATTTAACAAGGAAAGCAGAGGGCAAAGGACAGGTCCCACATGCGGGCAAAGGACAGCTATGGTAGGTGTCACTGGATAGGGTGGAATGTCCATTCACGGATGCTCCCTCTGGGGAATGAACCAAGAAGTGACATATATTACATCACTTCCTGGTCTGCAGCTGTCAAAAATCTAATTTCATCATAAATTTTGGTAAAATGTATTCTGCAAAATGTCTTTGCTAAAAAAAAAAAAAAACCCAGTACGTGTAAATTAATTGGTTTACTTGAAAGTTAATGCGTTCACAAAGGGCAGTATAGATAATGGGATTTTTTTCTACTAGTAATGGTGGCGATCAGCGACTTTTAGCAGGACTGCGGCGGACATTCTGACACTGGGGGGGAACTAACTTGGTGTCACTGACACCCCAGTGACACCAATACAGTGATCAATGCTAAAAAAAAACCCACTGACAATGTACTAATGGCACTGGGCAAGAAGGGGTTAATGTGAGGGGTAATCAAAGGGTTAACTGTGTGCTGGGAGTGTTTTACTAGGGGGCGGGGTGTGTGTGCTTCACTGTAAGTACCGTATTTTTCGCTCCATAAGACGCACCTGACCATAAGACGCCCCTAGGTTTTAGAGGAGGAAAACAAGAAAAAAAATATTCTGAACCAAATGGAGTACTAAAATATTTAATAAAATATACAGAATAATGTTTCAACCATGTAACGTGAACAGCAGTCAACCATCATCACTGTCATTAACAAATGAGGACAGGTTTGAAGGAATTGCTAGTAATGTGTCCTTCATTGTTATGAGAGCACTGTAGCTGAGAACATTACCCCCCATGTACACAGCACAGCAGCGCGGCCACCAGCACTCGCTCCTCCCACAGTATAACATGCTCATTCACTGAAAGGCTGGCCTGGCACCAGGGCTGTCTTTAATATTGATTGGGCCCTGGGCAAACATTTTCTTGGGCCCCTCCCAGGAGATGACCAGAGACTGCAGACATACTATAGGAGATGACAAAAGACTGCGGGCGTAGTACAGGAGATGACCAGAGACTGCGGGCGTAGTACAGGAGATGACCAGAGACTGCGGGCGTAATACAGGAGATGACCAGAGACTGCAGACATACTATAGGAGATGACCAGAGACTGCGGACACAGTACAGGAGATGACCAGAGACTGCGGACACAGTACAGGAGATGACCAGAGACTGCGGGCATAGTACAGGAGATGACCAGAGACTGCGGGCGTAGTACAGGAGATGACCAGAGACTGCGGGCGTAGTACAGGAGATGACCAGAGACTGCGGGCGTAGTACAGGAGATGACCAGAGACTGCGGACATAGTACAGGAGATGACCAGAGACTGCGGACATACTACAGGAGATGACCAGAGACTGCAGACACAGTACAGGGGATGACCAGAGACTGCGGACGTACTACAGATGACGACCAGAGACTGCGGACGTACTACAGGAGATGACCAGAGACTGCGGACGTACTACAGGAGATGACCAGAGACTGCGGACGTAGTACAGGAGATGACCAGAGACTGCGGCCATAGTACAGGAGATGACCAGAGACTGCGGACGTACTACAGGATATGACCAGAGACTGCGGACGTAGTACAGGAGATGACCAGAGACTGCGGACGTAGTACAGGAGATGACCAGAGACTGCAAACACAGTACAGGGGATGACCAGAGACTGCGGACACAGTCCAGGGGATGACCAGAGACTGCGGACACAGTCCAGGGGATGACCAGAGACTGCGGACGTACTACAGGAGATGACTAGAGACAGCAGGTGTACTACGGGAGATGACCAGGGACTGCGGACACAGTCCAGGGAATGACGAGAGACTGCGGACACAGTACAGGGGATGACCAGACTGCGGACACAGTACAGGGGATGACCAGAGACTGCGGACACAGTACAGGAGATGACCAGAGACAGCCGATACAGTCCAGGGGATGACCAGAGACTGCGGACACAGTCCAGGGGATGACCAGAGACTGCGGACATAGTACAGGAGATGACCAGAGACTGCGGACACAGTCCAGGGGATGACCAGAGACTGCGGACATAGTACAGGGGATGACCAGAGACTGCGGACATACTACATGATATAAAGTCCCAACAGGGCCCCTCCACCCAGAATATCAAATGATCTGACCATACATCAAGGAAAAGGACTACAACTCCCAGCATGTCATTTTAACTTACAGAAGGCAGGGGGCGCACTGAGCTCCGAGGACAGGCCACACCAGCAGACAGGACCGGACTGCAGAGCAGGGAGCGCACTATGGACACATGCCAGGAAAGGGGAGGAGCTGTAAGGACAGGCCACACCTGCGGACCGGACTACAGAGCACAGAGAGCAGTACACAGACATGCCAGGAGCGGGGTGGAGCTCCGAGGACAGGCCACACCTGCAGGGCAGACCGGCAGAGCTGGGTTCGGCGGGGGACTGCCTGCTATGAAGAGCTGCGGGGACAGCCCGCTGAGAGACGGGATAAGGTAGGGAGAACGTCAGTGACAGGCTGCAGTGGGAGGGGACAGCCGCTGGTCCTAACACGGCTGCGGTGACAGGTGGAGGACTGTCAGTATCCGAAGAGAGAGGGGATAAGGCAGGGAGAACATTGGTGACAGGCTGCAGTGGGAGGGGACAGGCTGCAGTGGGAGGGGACAGGCTGCAGTAGGAGGGAACAGGCTGCAGTGGGATGGGACAGCCGCTGGTCCTAACACGGCGGCGGTGACAGATGGCTGTCAGTATTCGCTCCATAAGACGCACAGACATTTTCCCCCATATTTTCTGGGGAGAAAAGTGCGTCTTATGGAGCGAAAAATACGGTACACTGATCGGGATGGCTGTACTGTGCACAGCCATTCCAAGCAGTGTGCTCGGGTTGACAGGGAGGAAGATTGTTTGTAAACAAAACAAACTTCCTCCCTGTCAGAGATGCTCTGTAATCACCGGGTACCGGCGGGTAATTACCAGACAAGACCTGGTGATTGACATCCGTGGCTGCACATGGCTTGTGTGCCCCCCCTACCTGGAAATGCAGAATGATGTATATATATATATATAGGTGATCCTGTGCACAGGTGTGCCCTGTAGCAGTAAATCTGCTATGGGGCGGTCCTTACACGGTTAAAGAATTTTAATGCACACAAACACAATATAATACCCACTTTTTTTGCAAAATATAAAAGATGTTGATACACCGAGTAAATAGATACCTAACGTGTCTTGGTTTAAAATTGCACACGCTCGCAGAATGGTGACAAATTATGGTATTTAAAAATCTCCATAGATGATGCTTTAAAAGCCTTTACAGGTTACTCTGGTGCTAGAATTACTGATCTCACTCTGACGTTCACAGCAATACTTCATGTGTGGTTTGATTGCCATTTATGTTTGCATACGGGACCAGCATGTGCATTTGAGCTTGCACACAAGCACAGGGGACAAGGGTAATTTAAAATTCTTCCTTTTTACATTTTATTTAATTTTTACACTGTTTCTTAAAAAAAATGTTATCCCTTCTATTGCTGTTGCAAGGAATGTAAACATCTCTTGTGACAGCAATAGACAGTGACAGGTACTCTTTATGGAGAGATCTGGGGTCTATTAGACTCCAGATGTCTCCTCCGACCTTAAAAATATCTGATGAAGCCAAGATTGGTGTGACCAGATGCTTTCCCAATTTAAAAATGGAGCTGTTTACATCAGGAGAAACTGGAAGTGACAAAGTACTTGTTCCTTCCGGTTTCCTTTACCATAGAGCTGATTGGGTTCTGGTCCTCAAAAAACTCTATGGTAAGCCTGGAGAGGCGCTGGCAGACTGCTGGAGGTGGGTGGAACCCTCCCGCCGCCTGTAAAACAATCCAGTGGCTAATTAGCTGCAAGAATGGCTTTAACAAAAAAAGCAGACTGCAGATTGCCTGCAGAAAAAACAATACCAGATAATGCCTGTAGCTGCACGCATCATCCCGGTATAACTACTTGAAGTAGGAAGTGTGGGCAGCACATTGGCTAAATGGTTAGCACTTCCACCTGGCAGTACTCGGGTCGTTGGTTCGAATCCCAGCCACGGCACCTCCTGCCTGGAGTTTGCATGCTCTCCCTGTGCCTGTGTGGATTTCCTCCGGGTACTCCAGTTTCCTCCTACACTCCAAAGACATGGTGGTAGGTTAATTGGATCCTGTCTAAAATGGCCCTAGTATATGAATGTGAGTTAGGGGACCTTAGATTGTATGCCCATTGAGGGTTAGGGACTGATGTGAATGTACAATACATATATAAAGCACTGCATAAATTGATGGCGCTATATAAGTACCTGAAATAAATAAATAAGTAGCGACATAAAAGTACGTATTGCGGCCTTCAAGTGGATATGGTTTTAATAATTGTTTAATAATAAACCCCTTTTTGATACATTATATGGTGGCTTTGCACCCTTCTCTCTCTCCCGGTCTTTGCAGCTCCCAGGTTCCCAGCCTGTGTCAAGGAAGCAGCCGTGCTCCAGCCTTTGTAGCTACTCACTCTTAAAATGTTACTAAACCCACAGCAGTAAAATCAGTCTGTATATGCAGTAAAGCATGCTTGCTATACCTACTGTGGAACCTAAGGGGTTAAAAAGGATATTTTATCCTGTCTTCTCTGATCCTCCCCTTCTTCTACTGTCCCTAATCCATCTGCCGATAGAACAGAGCCCTGGGGGCAAGCTGCACATGCTCAGTTTGGCGTGTATTGCTAGAAAAGTTTTTATTTTTCTTGGAAGAGTGCATGTGATTAGCACAGGGCCAATCAGCACTGTCCAGACAGAGGGTCAGGGGTCATGCAGTCTCATAGGACAATTTGGGGGAATGAAAACTCCTACAAGCTTTAGCCAGTGCTCTGCCGGACACTGATAGAAGTCACAAGACTGCTCAAACTGCTGACGAGAAAAGGTATTTAGCAGTTTTAATAAAATATTTGCATTTCCATGTTCTGTGGGAGTCCAGATATAGTGAATGCTGGGTTCTGGGTTTAGTAACACTAACCTCCAGGAATCTTTTGACACATTTTGTTACATTGTATTACATTTGAAAGATTTTGCAAATACCAACAGACTGTTTCTTTACATTATAAAACCTGTGGTTCCCTATTAGACTGCTTTCATTAACCACAAAACATGATTCCTGAGCCTTTATTCAGCCTCCTGTATGGGTTGTTTATGGAAAGCCTAATTTGGCCTAATTAGGTTCAAGGACTCCTCGAGACTGGCTGAGCGCCAAGGGCATTTGTTTCTTCTCGTTCTTTAACATTGGTGAGGACTATTGGCCTATGACATAATGGAGCCAGTGGAATCTTCTCTATGAAACCAGTCCATGCCTACAGGCCAAACTACACCCCAGATGAGAAGACACCGATCAGAGCAGAGGGCCACAGTTCCCAGAGTCCAATCACACAGTCTCCATCTTAGCTCCACCCACTCTCCTCTTCCCAGCTCCGAACACTCCTCTTGATAGCTCTGCCCCACAGCCCTTGCTGTCATTGACTCCTTCCAGTAGGTGGCGCTGTACACTTACCAGCTAGAAGAAGAATGATGGAAAGCTCTATTTTTTTTTTTTAGTACAGAGCTTACTCATTTATTTATACGTCAACTTTAAAGGCAAAGGTCAACTTAATTAAAAATAACAAATGCACATTTTTGTTTTAAGACCAAAAAAATGGTTATGTTATTTTTTAAAACAGGAGTATCGCACCTGTGATCATCAGATTGTAGGTGCAATGTCAGGCTTCTGCACACACACTGCCTACAGCTCTGTGCCCATACCCTTGTATCAATGATTCATGGACAGGACATACTGATTGGCTGTGTCCGATCACAGCCCATAGCTCTGTGTTGACAAACAACACACGGCTCTGTACAGAGGGAATGATCTCTTTGTTTCATGTCCCTGCACAGCAGGGAAGAGTAATAGATTTTTAGTAAAAAGCAGCACATAATACACACATTAGCACTTGTTAGGCACACATTTAACCTCTTGATTACGCCAAGATGTTAACCACTTCCCAGCCAGTTTAATTAGTACAGTGACAGTGCATAGTATTACTACTGGTCACTCTATTAGTGCAACTGGTGATGTCATTATCAATTAGTTCCCACACAGTGCCAGTTAGTGTCAGATTGCCTGCTGCACTATCACAGTCCCACTATAAGTCGCTGATCACTGCACATTATTGGTATAAGAGAAAAAAGAAAGACAAATTCCAGGATATATCCCATAGTTAGAAGAAGCTATAACTTTCACACAAACCAATTAATATACTGTACACTTATTGGGATTTTTTTATTTTTTTGGTTGGTTCACATTTTTCTCCTCTGACTAGGGAAACAAGATATGATGTTTATTTTTCTCTATTCAGAAGGAGAATCAGAATATGGCTGAGTGATAACATAGCCAATCACAGGCTATCACAGCAATCACATGATTGGAAGCCAGGTCTCCTGGTTCCTGATCGTATTAGACCAGGAGCTGTTGGTGACAGGTTGGGCTCTGTGTTGGGAGTGCACTATGGAGCATGCTCCAAGCACAAACTATGGTGTATGTATACTGTGTGTGTGTGTGTATGTATATATATATATATATACAATTGTGTTCAAAAATAATAGCAGTGTGTTGAAAAAAGTGAATAAAGCTCAAAATCCTTCTAATAGCTTTTATTTCCATACACACAAATGCATTGGGAACACTAAACATTCTATTCCAAATCAAAATATGAAGAAAAATATATCAAATTTGTGTTGTTCCTCTAAAAAAAATTGAAGAAAAGTGAATATTAGACTGTTCAAAAAAATAGCAGTGTTTGTATCCTTCTTTACAAACTCAAACATTCACTATATAAACTGAAAAATGTTTGAAGATTTTGCTTTCCTTTGAATGACTTAATGAATATTTGGTTGTATAAGCACTGTTTCTGAGAACTGCTGTACATCTGTGTTGCATGGAGTCAACCAACTTCTGGCCCCTGTGAACAGGTATTCCAGCCCAGGATGATTGGACGACATTCCACAGTTCTTCTCTATTTCTTGGTTTTGCCTCAGAAACTGCATTTTTGATGTCACCCCACACAAGTTTTCTATTGGATTAAGATCCGGGGATTGGGCTGGCCACTCTATAACATCAATCTTGTTGGTCTGGAACCAAGATGTTGCCCGTTTACTGGTGTGTTTGGGGTCCTTGTCTTGTCGGAACACCCATTTTCAAGGGCATTTCCTCTTCAGCATAAGGCAGCATGACCTCTTCAAGTATTCTGATGTATTCAAACTGATCCATGATCCCTGGTATGCGATAAATAGGCCCAACACCGTAGTATGAGAAACATCCCCATATCATGA